ACCTTCATTCAACCATGGAAACCAGCTGGGTAACCATGAGCAAGTCACATTTTCTCCATCTCAGAGGAAGAAAAAGGCAAACCGCTTCTGAACAATTCTTACCAAGAATATGCCATTATATGTTTTTCGTAAGTCGGAAACAATTTGAAGGCACGCAACAAAATACGATAACTTTGCTACAGATTTTAGATCAGGGGTCCTCAAACTATGGCCCGGGGACCGAATACGGCCCTTCAAGGTCATTTACCCGGCCCTCGCTCAGGGTCAACCTAAGTCTGAAATGAAAGGACGCGACAACAACAATCCTATCTCATTAAGCAAAAGCAGGCCCCCACTTCTCATTGAAATACTAATAAGTTTATATTTGTTAACATTGTTCTTCATTTTAATTATTGTATTGTTTTAAGTGTTTTTTGCACAACAAATAAGATATGTGCAGTGTGCATAGGAATTCATTCATTTTTTTTTTCAAATTATAATCCAGCCCTTCAACAGTTGGAGGGACTGTGACCTGGCCCTCTGTTTAAAAAGTTTGAGGGCCCCTGTTTTAGATCGTCCAATGTACAGTTTGAAATTAGGTTCTAATATGACTGTGAGTGTTTGAATAATGTTCCAAATTCCTGTTTATTATACCACTGCCCTCTAATCTCCATTTAATACAAAAATTTATATCACAGTGGGCTTTTTGCAGGACACTGCAAGAAGGCTGGTGGAGGGAAGCAGCACTCCTTGTATGCAGGAATTCATAGTTGTCGCAAAGATTGCATGATGAATGAAATACCTTAAAATGTGTGAGCCCTCTTTTTGTACAGTGCTGTAAAAATGAGAAAGGTGCTCATATGATATCTAGTAGTTTCAGATAGGATTCTGCCATTGTGTTGTTGTGCACCTTCAAAACTTTTTTCTTGATAAGATTTGTCCAGAAGAGTTGTGTCATTGCCTTCCTCTGAAAGTGTGTGACTCTCCCAAGTTAACCTAGTGCATTTCCATGGCCGAGTAAGGATTCGAACCCCGGATCTCCACAGAGTTTTGTCCAATTCTGAAACTGCTGTAACATGTTAACACCCCATGTAGGCTAATTATTTTCATCACTACTCTTTTTATTCTAATTCAGATTTATTTTCATTCGTCTGGGAAATTTGTTCCTCATCGCTGCAGACATGTTGAAGTTAAAGCTCAGTGTTTTAAAATACTTCAGTAATTAGTAAAATGTTCCGCATTCCAGATGGAATGTGTTTCTCTGAAACTCCACTAACTTTCTCAAGACCATTGAATGAATACTATTTTCACAAGAGAGTAAACCTAAACCTCTAGTCATTCCCTCTCACATCTCTTGCTGTGTCACTCAGCCATAAGATGTGTGATAACTGGTGTATTGGGCAAGAATAATTAATAGCCTATGGATATTTATTTGCTAATGAACTTTTGGAACCGGGCCAAGAATATATTTCTAAGAAACATGCTGTCACGGTGGCAGTATGAATTTTAATTATACGGATTTCCTGGTTACCAGACAGTAATATGCAGCCAAGGAAATGGCTCACAAGCATTTTTTGTGTCACTACATTCTTGTGGGTTGGAGTTGGGAAGGAGAATCTAACTAGTGAATCTGAATCAGGTTAGGTGAGCTTGACTCGCATAAAGTTTGTCCATACTTTATGGATTTCTATATTTTGTAGAAAAGCTGGAAGCTTTCTTGTGTAGTAAAGTCCAGACATTTTCTCATGGCCCAAAGAGGTGTAGTCAGACTGTTAACTCAAATTAATTTCAGGGAGCATACAACATCCTTGTTAAAACAGGCCAACTAGTATCCTACCTGTTTTCAGGTAGAATTCATCATCATAGTCATCTGTTACCTACCCCTCCTCACATGGGTAAAGTACATAGATAAAACAGAAGACCATTGGAAAAATATATTAAAAGACACAGAGATTAGAACACATTAAAATCATGCATAGTAATAAAATGTAAAAGTAATAGTTTAAAATTGACTAGCTAGGCCTGCTGGAAGAGATAGGTCCTTTATTCTGTTTTTGATGGTTTTCACTTATAAGAATGGTTGGCTGCATACTGCAAGTTGCTTCTGGTGTGAGAGAATCAACCATCTACAAAGAAGTTGCCCAGGGGACTCCTGGATGTGTTACAATCCTGCAGAGAGGCCTTTTTATGTCCTCCCTGTGACATCTCTGGCCCATCCTCTGTTCGGATATCAGCCAGCATGTCAACAGCTTAAGTCAAAAAACAGCTTCCTAAGATTGAGAGAGATACTCGCAGGAACACTTCAGCAAGTGAGAATTCAAAAGTAGCAGGTTAAAACCCAGCACCTTAATCAATGGCTGAGACCAGATGAGAAACTCCCTCCTGGGCACACAGAAGAGCACAATACAGGATCTTCTCACAGCGACACTAGAGGCACTCCAAATGGCCAGCTTCTCGTCAAAGAACATTTATCATAATGCCAAGTTTTTTTTAAAAAAAAAACTTTGTTTTTAAATGCATTTTAACTGTACCCTCAACTCCCTTCTGACACAATAAATATTTATAAGAATATCAACAAGGTCTGAATTAAGAGAACCCTGTTTAGATATCAATAGCATGAAAACCTGTGCTATAAAATAATTTTTAGCCATTGCCAAAAACGCAGAAATGTTTCTTTTTAAATGTAACACATAAAAGTTCATATGAAATAAGTATTATTCCCCTAACCTAAAGATTCAGTGTTGTTTCTGAACATAGGATGACCATCTAGAAACCAGGAAAACCATTCCCACCTCCAAGCTCTTACTACAATGATTTAACAAAACTATTGTGCTGCCATTATGTACTAAAAAGAACAGATTTCTTTAAAGGTTTTTTTTTACATTTAATAAAAGTATCTGGTGTGAAATCATGTATGAGTGACTTTAATTAGACCTTGACTGTTTTCATATTCTTATTTAGATCTTATTATTTATTTATTTTACTGTATTTATAAACCGCCTTTCTCGCCCTCGGGGGGGACTCAAACATAAGCATGGTAAAATTCAATGCTGAACATACATGTGGAAAACCAGAACAAAAAAAATCAAACAATAACATGTAACTGTAAATTAAAACAATTGAAACCATATATAATGTAGGCAATATTTGGAAATTAAAACATAGAATTAAACACATTTGTATAAACATTAAAACCACATAATACACAATAATTATCCAAAGCCATTCCAATTGACAATGGCACATATTCCCTATTCATTGCTTGCAGGTCTCACTAACCAAAGGCTTGGTCCCACAGCCATGTCTTTGCTTTCTTTCTGAAAGCCAGGAGGGAGGGTGCTGATCTAATTTCACTGGGGAGAGAGTTCCAAAGCCGAAGGGTCACCACTGAGAAGGCACTGTTTCTTGTCCCCACCAACTGCATCTGCGAAATATTTCTTATTTACCATTATTACTACTTTTACACTCGATTCTTTACATTTCTGTGCAAGTCAAAAAGATTTCAGGGCGAAATATTCAATATATATTTATAGTGATACCATCCCTCTCTCCGACAAGCTCAAGGTGGCATGTGTGTTTTCCGTCATCTCCATTTTATCATCACAACAACGTTGTGAGGTGGTTCACATTGAGAGTTAGCAGATTATCCTAATATGCATTCTGAGTTTCATCACCTAAAGGGATTTGAATAGCTCAAGTCTCTTTCCAATACTCTTAACATTGTCCATTAAATCTAAGACTAATGGTTATTTATATGATTTTGAAATCCATTGATTTAATGTAAAATAACAATGAGTGACTTTCTCTTTAAATACAGTTTTGCAGGATACAGAAATTAAGTAGATTTTAGCACAAAAACAGCTTTTACATAATACATTATTGCATTTGTAAATTGAGTGCTTGTGTGTTTTGTAAAGTATAGGATAAAGTTCTTTAAATTATCGTAAAAATTTTGTTTTGTTTTTGGTCTTCATTCCAGATTTTATAGACATAGTGATATGTTTGGTGTTAGTAATATAGATCTTTTATCATTTGTTAGAAATTACTTACTGTCTGTCACTGCAAATCTCAAAAACCCCATAACACAATTCATTGCACCTTTCAGTGGATGGATCCTTGTGATCTCAGCCATTTAATTTTCCAACCCTGAGGAATTAAAAAAGCAAGAAGTATCTTGGGAAAAATCCAAAAAAGTTAGACTTTTTGTAGGTGGGTAATATAAATCTGGTTGAGTCATTCTCTCCTGTTGAATTAATTAATAATTTAATTAATGCCTAAATTCTAGATAATTTAATGGTGAATCAGGTCAGTTAAAAATAAATTTAATCAAGTGTCTCTGTTTTCTTGACAAGTTTTCAACTTAATTAATAGCTTAATTGATTTTAATTACAGTAGTTAGTTTCTCTTATTGTCAGTGACACATACCTTATAGTGGGATCCAACCTACTCCTAATTTCTGTGTTTTTTCCAAATTAATCTTGTTAGAGTAGGCAACAGAGATAGACATGTATCATTTTGAAGGCTTCTTCTCTCCCTCCCCTTTTATTTCTAGCTGAGGAGCAGAAGCTGAAACAAATGCAACTGCAACTTATTATTATGACCTCATCTCAAGGCTTGCCTTTTAGACAGGTTTGGATTTACAGCCTATTTTGAGGAAGAAATGTTCCTGAACAAAAACATCAGGAACTTGTTGCTATTCAGGACTTCACGTTTTTGATCTCCTCTAAAGTTCCCAAGTATTTTAATGGCATTGGGGTTTGTCATTTTCAAAAAAGCCAAAGACCATTTTCTAGTTTAAAGTAAGTGAAAGAGTCCTAGTATTCAGTGACTATACCATGTTGTGTGCCGGGTATCTAAAAGCAGAACTTTTTAATATTGGGTTGTTTTCCTCCTGGCTATTATTGTGTAAATGCACATTGAAAGGATATGAGATATAGTGGTTGGAGTGTAGGGCTAGAGACTTCATCCCAAGTTAGCCTGAGACAGTCTTCTCTCTCTTTCTTTATGTTGCTTAAACGAAGTTCTTCAGAGACCATCACATGACGCTAGGCCACTTCCAGTGTTTGCCCATGGGACTCTGATGGCAGTACAGGGAAACAGAGGGAAGACTGCTTTCAGAAGATGAGTTCTACCCAACTTCGAATTGTAGAAGCCATGAAGAAAGTGTGGAAAGGGCATGGAATAGCTTGTGATTCCAGAAGATAGAAGGGAACGTGGTAAGCTGGTTCTCTTTTACCCACTTTCTTGCCACTTGTGGGATAAGTTCTTAGGACTCTAGAAGTTCATCTACACTGTAAAATGAATGCAGTTCTGGCAGATGAAACTTTGGCAGATGTAACTTTGGATGTGAGTACCTCTTGGTACTCTTGGTAAGGTATGTTGATGTCAAAATTGCAGGAATATGAAAAGTCTTTATAGGCTTTGTGAATATAAGTGGTATGACAGGTGGAGGACGTGCAGGCATTATTTTGAAAGCACTGGGGAAAATTGGTCTAAACGTGCAATCCTTGTGTAGACAGGATTAGGATGGAGTTGCTAATATGAGTGGTCATATTAGTGGTGCATAGGCAATTATATTGCAGAAGTATCCAGTGGCTGTCTGTGTCCACTGCAGTGCTCACTCACTAAATCTAGCCTTAGCAAAAACTTGAAGCATTCCACCTGTCAGAAACTGCCAAGGAACAATATCATCTGTGTGCAATTTTTTCAGAGTATCAGATTGCAACTGTTGAAGAAAACTATAAAAAACTGTTTCCCCGAATCAAGAGCAAGCAACCTCTTTTTGCTTTGTGAAACCAGTTGGGTTGAGCGACATGATGCAGTTTTACGTGTTGTTGACTTGTACAGTGTGGTGGTGTGAACACTTAAAGAACTAAAAGAGTAAATATTGACATTTTCTGTAGTCTGCAACATGTTGACAGTCTCTTAGAAAAAGCCCCGGAGATGCTGTGAAAGAATTTCAGGAGATCTTCCACAAATCAAGATCAGTCGTGGAGTCTATGGCTGGAGAGGTTAGGATTCCTCACATTGAAAATCCAACTTGAACAAGTGCACAGGACTTTACAATGAATGCCTTCAAGATACTGACCCACTGATGCAAGACTTTGACCTGTGGTGTAGAAAATGGAAAAAGACTACGCCTGCAGAAAAAAATCATATGCACTGTAAGCATATCTTCAGTTTTTTTCCAAATGTGAAGAAACTTCTTCAGATTTCTGCAACACTGCCAGTGTCAACAGCTACAAATGAATGGTTGTTTTCAATTCTTAAACATTTGAAAACATACATAACAAGCTCAGTGGGGCAAGAAAGACTAACTGGACTTGCACTCTTGAGTGTCCCCCAAAGTTTATCAATGGAACCTGATTTCTGTCAAAGTCAATTGACATATTTTCAAGTACTTCCAACAGGCCTTGTGGTATTTTTTGTAACCACTAATGACCAATTAAGAGTCATTTTCGGGTTTTTTTTTAAACTTGAAACTTTGTAGCTAAAATAGAAATTTGATTTAATTAAGTCTTACCTACAATATAGAATGAGTCAACCCCCCCCCCCCCCCCCCCCCCCCCCCCCCCCGCTGCCCCTCTCTAATTTTTTGTTTGGCGACGTGCCTGCTAGAGCTTCCAGTGCAATTCTGTGGTCAACTCCCCTTCCTCCACATTCCTATTTGTGTCTGTCCAAGTGACTATCAACTCAATAGCCCTAATACTGTCAAAACTGACCTAATGAAGGATGCAGTTGAAGTTAAAGAGAGCTGAGACATTCCTTTACAACCTGCACCCCAGATACTCAAGGGGTGCATCTATACCGGGCAAATTTCAGCCCTCCGGGTGTTTTGGACTTTTGACTGTTAGGATTTGTGGGAGTTAAAGTCCAAAACACCTGGAGGACCAAAGTTTTCCCGTGCCTGATCTACACTGTAGAATTTAATGGTACTAGACTTCACTTGACATGGAGATGTGGTCATACCATAGATGGATCTAATCTCTGGAGGTGTTAATGCAGCCTGCAAAAGGCTTCAGAAACTTGTGGCGATAGTGACTGCTAATGTGTTCCTATTTTTCTCCTTCCGATGTGGCATTTCTGTTGGGTGCTGTAGCACTGGCTAGCATTCGTACCTCCCAGCTGCAGATAGTTCGACCTGCATTGAGCACCTGCTGAATAAGAGATGGCATAAGGGAAACAAACAGACTCTTGCTGCTACATCCCCTCGGCTTGCTCATGAATAAGAGCCATCAAAAGATGCAAACAATTGGCAGCTTCAAACCATACAAAACAATGCTTAGGGTTTCCCTTCCTTTAACATTCCAAGTGACTAAGCTGTCAATCAAAGTACTTGTTGTACACGACTGTGACACTGAATCCATGTAGAACAAGGATTTTGATTGGCAGTTTGGAAAAGCAGGTGTTTGGGAAGAGGATTCTGCCATTCATACTCAGAGGGATTGTACTAGAGATTGCTGGGTTTTTTTTTAGTATTCTGTCAAATCATGTGGCTTGAATTGAGTTTTGTTGTTTGTAGGATGTAGATTTAGGCCAGACTAATCTTGCAATACCGAGGCAATGACCATCAGGCTTGATTTTAGTAATTGCCTTTTTGTCTAAGAGTGCATCTATGCTTTAGAACAGGCAAGGACAAACTTCAACCCTCCAGATGTTTTGACTTCAACTCCCACAATTCCCTACAGCCAGTAAGCAGGCTGGGATTTCTGGGAGTTAAAGTCCAAAAAACCTGGAAGGGCAAAGCTTACCCATGCCTTCTGTAGAATGAATGGAGTTTGATACCACTTTAACTGCAATGGCTGAGTTTTATGGAATCATGGGAGTTGTAGTTTGGTGAGGCACCAGCACTTTTTGGCAGAGAAGTATCCAAGACATTATAAAACTATATCCATGATTCCATAACACTGAGCCATGACTGCATTCATTCTACAGTGTAGATGTGCCCAATGCTTCCCATACTAGTTCTCCATCCCTTGCAGCTTTGGTCAGCATGCAGTTGTCACACTGTGTATCTGTCTAGATACACTTTTTTTGGGTATGGAACCCTTCAGAAGACCCTTTCCCCACAGAACCCCAGTTCTGTCCCTGATTTTCCCATAAAACCCTAACTCTGTCCTTAAGCATTGTGAATCCACAAAGTTCCACTTCCATGTATTCCTATCGCCTGAGTGTTTTGTATAATCTAGATTTGGAAATAAAGCAAAGGAACTTTGAACTTCAACAAGATCTTCATACTCTGGCATGGACTTAGAAAAACTTTTTTTAAAAGTTTATTTATTTATTTATTTATTTATTTTTGTGGAATCCTTGTGATGCTGTCGTGGAACCCTAAGGTTCCATGGAGCATGGTTTGGGAAATGCTAGTCTAAATAATCCCAAACAAGTTGACGGTTCTTTGCAGAGAAGTACAGTTAGCCGAACTCAAGCAATCAGAACTCACAAGCAACTGGCAAAAAAGAAAGAAAGAAAGAAAGAAAGAAAGAGAAAACTTTAAATAAAAAATAAAATAAAATCTTTTTTACAATACAGTAAAATTAGTTTTAATAGAGTAAAACTGTATTACATTAAATTAAGTTTATTAGCCTTTATTTGCTTTTAATTACTGCATTTCAGAATTAATATCAACTCAGTACAGAGTTTATGGTATGGTATATTATGACTAGAGTCTTAGGCCTGTTTTTAATAGTAGCTCTCAAATAAGCACAAATTGCATGTAAAATTCAATTTCTTTCCATCCCAATCACAAACTTGCTCTCTTTGAAATCTAAGTATGTGTTGTTGTTTTTTGTCACCTGAAATATAGATTGGGAAAGCATTTAAAAATGGAAGCAAATGGATAGTATAGATGAATAGCCATATACTAATTAATGAAAGGCAGGATGTTTGGGTCTCTTATTGAACTCTGTAACCTAATAAAACCTTTTCATTCTTTAATACTTTGGAATACTTGGCGTAAACACTTTTGTGCTTTGCATTTTAATATATTAAAACATCATCTTGAAAGTGTTTCCTTAGGAGTGGTTCATTTTATAGGACATTTTTCCATTGTAGTTCCAAATGTAAAGCGTTTCTGTGTAGGAAAAACGGATGGAAAATCTAAGGGTGGATGCCAATTCACATACACACCTTTTAATTTTATTTCTGTCAGTCCTTCACATCTCTTGATGTGCTTTATTGGAAAATCGCCCTGTGAAATTTGGCCATCATTCTTACTCTTTTGCTGGCGCATTGCACTTTTAGCTGGGGTTATTAGTAGATCAAAGAACGATCATTATTCCAATACTATGTGTATAAGAATAATTTTGTTGACTGTTATGGAAACCAGGAACCAGGTCTTCTCTTGTCTCCTAGCATTTCAAAGTGATGCAGATGTAAGTCTTCGCTCTCAAGGCAGTGGACACTCCTACATCACAATGTCTGATGATAAGCCAGAATTGGAGAGAAACAAATGTGAACATAGATTATGATGGTTTTAGTAATAGGTTCTGAGTCAAGAAGTTTAAAAAACAACCAGGGCCCACTTTTAAAACTGTGTTTGTGTACTTACTCCAGTGTGAGCAAGAATATAACTAGATTTCTCCTTAACCCCACGGATAATAGCAGAGTGTTGGATCAAGACATAATCATAGTTAGAGGCAACCTACTAAAATCAGTAAGTTAACTTTGTAATTTGCTCAGATGCCTTAGCATTTTCCCAAGTTCCGGAAGACAGACAAAATGCAAGTTGATGATGGTCATTAATTAAGAACTGTAGCCTCTCCTTTCTGTTGATATTGCACATCCATTAATCTTGACACCTGTGTGATGACATTGTATTTCTGTATTTCAGTGTGTATATTCTGCCTTATATCAAGAACTCAGAGTAGTTGAATCATATACAGAGCCTTACTGTCTTGGGATTTGGTTAAGAATGAGTGGAATTACTCAAACAATATGCACATTGCCTATTGCAGTAGTGCTTCATTGGCTTGAAGGTAATATAATAATAATAAATCTTTAGGTTTTCGTGCTTCCTTTGCCTCCATGGACGACGAGGAAGAGACCTACCGGCTGTGGAAGATCCGCAAGACCATCATGCAGCTCTGCCATGACCGTGGCTACCTGGTGACCCAAGACGAGCTGGACCAGACGCTGGAGGAGTTCAAGGCCCAGTTTGGCGATAAGCCCAGCGAAGGGCGGCCCCGGCGCACCGACCTCACCGTGCTGGTCGCCCACAATGATGATCCTACTGACCAGATGTTTGTCTTTTTCCCTGAGGAGTCGAAGGTCGGGATCAAGACCATCAAGATGTACTGCCAGCGCATGCAAGAGGAGAACATCACCCGGGCGCTCATTGTGGTCCAGCAGGGCATGACGCCATCCGCCAAACAGTCCCTGGTAGACATGGCGCCCAAGTACATCCTTGAACAATTCCTTCAGCAGGAACTTTTGATCAACATCACTGAGCATGAGCTTGTTCCCGAGCACGTAGTCATGACCAAAGAAGAGGTGACAGAGCTTTTGGCACGATACAAGCTGAGAGAGAACCAGCTTCCTCGGATACAAGCAGGGGACCCTGTGGCGCGCTACTTTGGGATCAAGCGAGGACAAGTGGTGAAGATCATCCGTCCCAGCGAGACAGCCGGCCGGTACATCACTTATAGGCTGGTGCAATAGTAGTTTTGTCAGGTATTTTGGACTCAGACTTCTGTTCCCTCTTTTGCCTGACTTTGCAATACTAGGATGGGCAAATCGTAGCCGACAAGTGACTATTTTGGGCAGCTCTTGGAACCTTTTTGCCCAGTCATGCTGGAGGACCTAGAGATTACCTTTTGGAGTTTTCCTGACCGAGGTAAAAGGGCCATACTCTCATCCCGATGGTACCTTTTGTTATCTTCCATCTAGTTTGACCGCCTCCCTTCTGGAGATGACCGCCTGGCTTGTCTAACCACCATGAGACTAGATTGACCTGTCTTCCCAGCATGGCTCTGGACACTGAGAACCCCAAAGACTCTTGAAGGGGTTGCCCCGATCAATGCCCTGCCATTCTCTCCACGCTCAGCCGACATCTTTTCTAGGTGAAAATGGGACTCGCTCTAAATGGACACTAGGGTTTGAAACCTGAAGTCTGGAATGCTTCCTCTCCAATGCAACTGCTGTAATAAAGGATTAGGATGTTTTATTTTTTGAAAAAAATCTTTTTTTATATGCATCTTTTCTCTCACAAAGGGACCCAAAGGGGCTTTCAACATGTTAAAAATACAGTACAAAATCAAACACACAAATATAAAACATTATAAACAAGCAAGATCAAACAAAGCAGTATACATTATTGTGCAATCTTACCACATTATATTGCACTTAGCATATTGTTATTATACGTAATATTAATAACAATATTAAATATGAATAACATAATTTTGTCTTGTAAAAAAGCTAATAGAGGCAGAAGCAGAATTAACTGCACTTGTCAACATTTCCAGCAAAGACAAGATACAAAGATTATGATGTATGGCCTATATAGCAAAATAGCTGAATTTAATCTAATAAAGTTAATACAGATGTTATAAAAAGTATTTTTATATAATGTGCACTATTAGTATGACAAGGTTCAGTCAATCCAAATTATGAGTTTCATACAATCTATTTGGAAATAATAGGACAGAAAGAAAGAGGAATTTGAACCATAGCATTTCTTTCAAGTTAAGAACCTCTATGTTTTATGTGTATATGTGATTTCTAAAGAACATTTAGATATGTGTATGTACTTTAATTCTCCTTTTCCTTCTTTGAATAGGAATTGGAGGATGTCCTGAATCAAGGAAAAAAAGGATTGCTCCAGCCTTGGTTCTCCTTCTTTTCAGGCTTCAAACATTTTGTGCTGAATGTTGCTGGGAGTTCATAAGGCCATGGCAGATGCTGCTGCCCAGCCATCCATACGAAGGAAGTGTGGCCCATACATTTCTTCAGTCACCAGCCGCAGCCTCAACTTGATGCTTCGTGGGGTGGTCCTATTTTTAATCGGTGTCTTTCTTGCATTAGTATTAAACCTGCTACAGATTCAGAGAAATGTCACCTTGTTTCCCCCCGATGTAATTACAAGTATCTTCTCATCAGCTTGGTGGGTCCCACTTTGCTGTGGAACAGCTTCAGGTATGGCAGAACTGAGCAGATATACTAGGGAACCACTTGGGAAAATGATATGAAATCAGTCCAGTCCACACAAGGAGTGTGTGCCCAGAATCCCTTCCCATTGCCTTCAATAGTGCCTCAATATTTGTAATTTTAGTTGTCAATAGCAAAACCTTTCTCTAAGTGCATCTACATTTTAGAATTAAAGGAGTTAGGCACCACTTTAACCTCCATGGCTCAGTGTAGATTGACAAGGTCTTTAACCTCTGCCAAAGAGTTCTGGTGTCACACCAACCTACAGTGCCCAAGTATCCATAGCATTGAGCCATTGCAGTTAAAGTGGTGCTTTAATCAGTGTAGATGCACCTTCTGTCTCTTTTTCTCTCTAGTTTTGAAAGGAATAGTTTAACCAAAAGCTTTATTTTAAAAAAATATATAATGTAAACTTAAAGAGCAAGTCAATCAGTGGAGTGATATATATTAGGAGTGTGCAAAATTCTGAACGTTTTGAATTTCAGAAAATTTTGGCATTTTGGAGACATGAACTGCCAAAATGAAACGCAGGAAGGACCCCGCCAAAGTATTAACAAATCAAAACATAAGGCTCTGAAACTTTCTGTGAAATTCGGAAAAGATTTGTTGATTCTGACCTTTTTTCCCAGTTTAACATAATCCGTTGTCCTGGGAGGGGTGAGGGGCAGGGGCTGACATGATTGACAAGGGCAGCTGCACACTTTTTTTTTCCTTGACAGCTGAAGAAGAAAGATATCAATAATGGTAATTACCTGGCCATTTTTTTCCAAGCGAGCAATCTCTCCATGAGACAGATGGGGCTGAGTGCTGCCATACTTGCTGCATCACATGCTCTTCCTCAGCCAGTCACTGGGCTTGTTTTCTTCTCCATTCTCCTCTCCTGTTATGAAGTTGTTTTGGACTTCCAAGTCCCAGAAATCCCTGCTGAATAGCAACTGCATCTGGTTTTTTTTTTCCTGCAAGCTGTCTCCTCCTCTCGATTAGGAGAGAGAAAATTTACTTTTATTTCCCCTAAAAATCAGTGGTGAGTGAAACGTTCTGAAATTTGGGAAAAATTATGCCCTGCATATGTTGTGTCATTGTTCAGAAATTCAAGGGGACCCCTTCTGTCATTTTTTTAAAAATGTTATTTTTAAAAACTTTAAAAATTCCAAAAAATCAGTACATGAGCGAAATGTTCTGAAACTTGTGAGGCTTAAAGTTATAAAATTGTCCTTCAAGTGTTCCACATAAATGGCAGAGAAACCTCTAAAGTTCCCCCATTGCCACCAATGGAACAAAACAGTAATGAAATGAAACAAAACTTTAAAAATTCAGATTTGAAATTACCTCCCTCCCCATTTTTTGAAATATTTTCAAAATGAAATGGGCCATCTGAATTTTGAAACAAAATTCAAAACAGATTTCTGTTGCTTCGCACACTTCTAATACAGAGACAAGTGAAAAACATGAGCTAGTGAATGCATTTCCTTGAGCAGCTATGAACTTACGGCTTTTGGATTTTCTTGGTAAGGTAGTGTATGTATTTCTCGTTTCCTTTTGTTTCAGGGAATTCCTTGATAAATAAAATTGATACTTTATACTATCAGCAAAAACCCTAAGTAGGGAAGTCAAGAGCCAACACTGAGAGAGAATTCTCAAGTAAATACCAAAAATAAGACAATTTGGCCATTAGGTTTATTTATTTATTTATTACCAAATTTGTACATCACTCTTCTCAACCCTGAGGGGGACTCCAAGGATGTCTTATTTTTCCATGAAGATGAATTCTCATTTATTGTTGAACCAAAAAATGAACATTTATTATATACCCTACAGTAGTTGTCATCACAAACCAGAAAAGCAGATACCCCTAAAGAATCAAAGTGATAGACTGCTTGCCTGACTCACACACAAGGCCACAAAAAATAAGGGCTGTAAAGTACTTGGCTCCCACACACTGTCTGGAGACTATAACGGTCTCTCACAGCAGTTCCTGGACCACTTGTACAGCAGGGACAGTATTGCAGCTTCTGACCACCAGAGGGAGTTCAAAAACTTTGCTAGGTCTTACTTTTGGGCAGTGGGGGGGCAGTGGCTTATATTTAGCAATTCAGCAAAACCTCTACTAGGTCTTATTTTCAGGAGATGTCTTATTTTCACAGAAACAGCGTAAATAAATATAATAATAATAATAATAATAATAATTTGCTAGTTTTTTCCTTCTTAGAAGGTGCACTTGGAAAAGTCTGATTACAACTATAGATTCTGTTTTACATCTAAACTTCATGTCCACCATAGTTTCTTCTTTTCCATAGCCAGACTGAAATTATTGAGTATGCTGCCTGACTTCATTTGACAATTACAATCAGCCCTCTACATCTGCAGATTTGATTATCCATAGATTTCATTAAAATGCAATCTCTAGCAATTTCTAGATCCTTCTGTGTGATTAGAGGGGAGTTGACCCAAAGTCGTGCTAGAAAAGGCAAAGGTAGAAATATGATAAAAGAACAAAATTAAAACTGGGAGTGAGGGAAGAGAGAAGATATTTGAAAGATTGGCAAGTGTTACTGAAGTCAGTGGAACTTGCTTCTAAGTAGAAACATCTAGGATTTTGCTTTAAGAAAACCTACATTTAAAAGTGATATTTAAAGTGTTCCTTATTGTAACACTCCAGAGAGAGGAGTTTCAGATGCTTCCACATCAGACAATAGCAAATTCAGTAAAAAAAAATGGTTAAGCAAAAAGTGATAATGAATGACACACATTCTAGATCTCTAATAATTTCTTTTGTCTTTTGTTTCTTTTTTATAGCTGTGATAGGCTTACTGTACCCTTGCATGGATAAACACCTGGGAGAACCACATAAATTTAAGAGGGAATGGTCAAGTGTGATGCGCTGCGTAGCAGTCTTTGTTGGCATAAATCATGCCAGTGCTGTATCCTTTTCTAAAGTCATGAAATTAGTAATAGTATTATCTCAGCTTACTAGGTGTCCAAAAGATGGGTAAGAGCTGCCTCGCTCACTTGGCTGGTAGTATGTAGCAATCAGTTCATTAGTCCTCTTTCCATTGCTAACTTAGGGAGATGTGTATTTAATAAAAGAGCATGGAGATTTGTGCTGTATTATATTGAATGCGTATCTACTTAGTATTCTGTACCTACAGTGACTAAAGAAGTGGGAAAGCCATGAGCAGGACTTGAGCAATATGAGAGTACCCTCCCATTTGGTGTAGTGATGGTTTCCATAGTTTTAAATATCTACTGTTTGGCAATGTACTTCTCTATCCTGATAAATAAAATGTCATAAAAATGTGACATAGCACAAGGTATGTTGGGCCATAAATCAACAGCAAGAGCAATAAAGTATTAAGATTTAGAATGCCTGTGAAACAGGAATTTGCGAGGTGGGTGGCTCTAAGAAAGCAATTTTACAAAGCAACCTAATTGCATGCCTAGCTTTTAAAAAGCGCTTGCCATTTCACAACACAAGTCTAGTCCTGAAAATAATGTGATTAGCTGCTTACATCAGATCATTACTTGGCCCTATGTTTCAGAGAGTTAAAAGTATCAGGCAAGTCAAAGCTGCACGATATGTGTTGGCCATCTTTGTTAGGTTGGGAGAGGGGGACCAACCTCATATTAATCAGTGTTTGACTGATCTCCCAAAATGGATCCTTAACATCATTCACAGAAAGTGGATTTTGCCAACAACATCCAGTTGTCTCTCACACTTGCTGCACTTTCCATTGGGCTGTGGTGGACATTTGACAGATCTCGAAGTGGCTTTGGCCTGGGCATAGGAATTGCATTTTTAGCCACAGTGGTGACCCAACTGCTAGTCTACAATGGAGTTTATCAGTAAGCATTTCCAGCATTGTGAAAGTATATTACTTTAATTAGGAGAGTAAAGGCATTACCTGACATCTTTATAGGTTAAATCCTGCAGCACACTTAACATCATCCCAACCAGGATGAAATAAATTACACTGTAGTGAAATCTGATTCTTGTATAAGAAGAGAGAAGAAACTATATTGGCTTATAGTTGCCTTTGAAGCTGCATTGTTTTAAGCTCTCCGATTGTGTTTGACATGGAGCAAAGAGAGAGAAGTCCAAACAAGATGGAATAAGCAGAACCACTCACTTTCATTCTCGGCTTCTTAGTTTTGCAGGAAACAGACTGGAAGACGGGTGGAGTTACTTTACAATTGCATACTGATTAGAGCTGCATTGTCCATCTATTCAGAGAATCTTAGCATCATGTGACCAAAACATCAAGGCCCCACCACCTTTCCAAACCCAAATTTGAACATACAGATAGGAGCAGGGAGTCTTATTTTAATCTCTTATGGGATATGCCTTGATCGGGTCTCCATTGTAGAATGAATGTAGTTTAACATCAATTTAACTCAGTGGTTCAAAGCTATGTAATCAAAGGAGCTGTAGTTTTGCAAGGTCTTTAGTCTTCTCTGCGAAAAAGTGCTGGTGACCAACCAAACTACAAGCCTTAGGATTCCATTACATTGAGCCAGGGCAATTGAAATGGTGTTGAAGTGCATTAATTCTGCAGTATAGAGAAAGCCTTTGTAGCTTTGGAATTGGCCTCAGAACAGCACAGAACAAAAAGACTACATGTTTGCAAACTTTTAAAAAAACGTAAAGAGAAGTTGCAGATTGTTTAACAGATTTGAAGCTACCTGATTGAGTAGTGCAAACCATGCTTCTGGGAAATAGTTAAGTGGAAATGCATAAAGCAAAAATGTCATGGAGCAGGTGGCACTATAAATGGATCCATCTTGGGGTGGGAATTATTTATGATTGTTCCAAAATTTTAATCAAATGTTTAAACTGACCTTTTTCAAAAGGAGGGTGATGTAAAAATCACCCTCCTTTTGAAAAATGTATAAAGTTTTGTATAAATCTGTAGTTTTATGGGGGCAAGACTCCCAGGGCAAACTGCCAAGAGAACTGGCTGAATCTTATGAATGCATTCCTAAAGATTGGAAAAGTAGAGGCCTCATACTTTCATCCAGAGTATTCTTATTTCTGGGTGTCTCAAAGTTTCTTGCTTCCTTTCATAGAACAAAATGGGTTATTTAGCCAGGTTGTTAGGGGGATACCAATAAAAAATATGTATTCGAAATGTACAAAAAGCGAGGGTTTTCTGTAGCAAGATGCATATTTAATGTATGCTCTTTATCTTTTTCTAGGTATACATCTCCTGACTTTCTGTATGTACGGTCCTGGTTACCCTGTATATTTTTTGCTGGCGGAATAACGATGGGAAACATTGGCAGGCAGCTGGCAATGGTAAGCTAGTTGTAAGTTCCTCTGCTTTGAGGTCCACAGGTATTTCTTTGGAGTTGATAACCAGATAACCAGATGTAGAAACACTGCAAACTATGCAATAAATACTCAACAGAGTTTTCTCTAACTATCCTTTTTATGCAATTTATGGGGCAGTGACGGTTTGCAATAAAAAGCCCCATAACAGAAGACAAAACATTGAGTTTTTGAGTAGCCTTTTGACCTTTCATCCAATGATTTCAAAACATTGCTTTAGGACACACTAACAATTTTTGGACAATTATTGGATACATCCCAAATATTATATAATATTCTGGCTGATCTCTAAGAAGGGTGAAGAGCAGTCAAAACGTGAATGCCAGTTGTGTCTTTGACCCATACTGTGATGTTCCTGCCTAGCCTCTCCCCAACCTTCCCCTATGTTTTGATGCAACAATAAAGGCTGTTTCGTTTTTTTAAGGCGTCCATTCATGCCAATAAAAGCATTCAGAAAAATAAAACAGAGGAGAGATGTAGTGAGACAAGAGTTTGAGATGGGAGAAAATATTTAACCTTTTCTGTGTCGGGACCATTTCAGAATGTTGGCAGTTCCAAATTGGAGGCATTCTTTAGTCATAATTGCTATTGTTGCGGAGCAGGATGTTGAGAATCTGTATGTGTGGATGAAAGGTTATAGGGAAACTCTTACCTGCTTTTGTTTTTCAACCCCCAGCATGCAGCCCATAAATAATTAGTCACAGAATGCAGTTTTAGCCTGGAAAATGTTCCCACCTTCATTTTATGTGTAAAGGCAAGAGTATCCCTTCCAGATGTGCTTATCAGTACTTGCCTTTGTTCATAGAGAATTCCTGCTTCTCTCCTGAGAAGCAGTGGCTACTCACTCCTTCATTGCTTATGTCTATATCAGGTACGTACAGGCTCCCTGATGTGTTTTACCAAAAGATATGCAGGTGGTAGGAATACTACAGAGAGCTGGTCCCATGAGGGGAATATGCTCCGCTGAGCCCCACCCATTTGTATTGTTATTCTGCTGTTTTTAGTTTTCTCTTTATGTATTCAAACCATCCTCAAAGATGTTTACACCTATTTTTTGTGTTTATTTTGTAGTATGAATGCAAAGTTACTGCAGAAAAGTCTCATGAAGACTGAGAAGAGCACAGGAGACTATGTGACAGACTGGGAAGAGTACTTCACTATGAAATTGCCAAACTGCAGTCTCCCTACTCTTGTTTCTTCTTTGTCTCTGCACCCCTGACCTGATCTGTCTGCGAATAGTACTATTTACTGCAATCTGTGATTGCTTCATCTGAGTGTCACTTGAAAATCCAAGCATCTTGGGATATTGTCAGCATGAAGTTGCACAAGAAAGTAACATGATGGATGAGATGTTGGTTTATACCTTGGAGCTTCTATTTTCTGAACTAAGCTTGGCTTACTATGCCCCATCATTTTTGCATAATATTCCTGTGCCAAACCAAAGTGCTATATTTTTTGTCTCTTTCTATTTCCACACTAAATTCATTTAATTTACTTTAGGACAGTTTGATAGATTTGGTGTTGTTTGAATATCACTTTCATTATTTCTCATGTACAATAATGAATTATGAGGAGTGGCTTAAAAATGCACCCAGGTTCAGTCAACCCCCCCCCCCCCCCCAGTGTTGTGATTATAATAGCTGAATAAATTGACAAGGCAGTTGCTCACTAAGTGGATGTATACATGGCCAAGTTCAACTGTCTGTCCTTTTTCATGGGTTGATTGAATGCAAAAATCAACCTGTGCCATCTGTACTGCACATAGGCAAGATTGCCACTGCAGTCACCATGGTGTCCCATTGCAACTAGATATAACCAACGTATTGTAAGATATATCGACCCTGCAGGACTCTAGGCTGTTGGCAAAGTCTGTTGGCATCAGCTCCTCATCCAGTGAATGGGCTGAAGGGGTGAATGGGATCTCTTCCAGACCCTGTTCCAAGAGGTCAATTAATGGGAGGCTCTGTGCCATCCAGAAGCACAGTGACAGTCTTGGCATATCAGAATCCCTATGGCCAGGCCCCTGATCATAGGAGCTTGCTTTGAGACTCAGCCAGAGCTTATTTCACTGGCCACAAAGAACATCAGGGCTTCAGCTTCTCATATTTGGCACACATTTCCTGCAGAGCTCCCAAGGTTGGTACAGTAGCAATGCTTCCCTTCCTCACCTTATATATTTTCAGCATCTCCTTCAGAGTCATGGCGAAACTGTGCACTTCCTAATTGTATCCAGTCTTTCATGTGATTGGACACCTGCAGGACTTCTTCTGCTCCTCTTTGATCAGTCTGTTGGCAGCCTGCATGTCTTCAGGATTTTTTATTTTCAAGAACCTGGCTAAAAAGCTGAGGTTTCTCAGTATGAGAATACAAAATGGGCCCACTGGCCTCAGGGAAGGAGAACGTGAGATTATGTCCTCTGGCAATTATGGGGTCTTGCTTTACAATTCCTTGTTTCTTTAGCATCTGATAAGCATCCCAGATGTTCATTCCCTGAGGAAAATACCTGATCCAACTGAACAAGATCTTGATGATGCAGTACTTGACTTGCTCCTTAAACCGCAAGCCCAGATACGTGGGGGAGAGGACTTTGATCAGATTCTCAAAAAGCATAACTTGCCCATGTTGCGGTGGAAGATCTCATCATAGTTGTTGATGCACATCTCTAGGATGGCTACTTTAGCCTCCTGCAGGGAATGGGTAGTGGAGGGGCCATTGGCATCTGTGTTGATCTGGTCACTGAAGTGCTGGATGCCCCCCCGCCCCCGGTTCTCCTTGAGGCCATTGGGGGCTGTGGCTTTGTGCAGCAGAGGTTCCAAGGCACCCAGAAGAACCATCTGAGCCTGGGAAGAAGTGGTCAGCCTCTTCCTCTTTGACTCAAACTGACTGCTCACTGCTCCATCCTACATCTATCAATGTGATCCATCCTACCTGTATCATACTTTCCTATATCTTCCACTGCTCCATCCTACATCTGTCATCATTTCCTACATCTAACAGTGTAGGTATCCCTAAGCTTTCTTTTTGAACTTACTGGGAGCTATCAGACTAGATTAAGTCACTGGGACTTCTAGAGGCTCCAAGGGAGGGAGCTGCAAGCTTCAAGCTCTGCCACTGACACTTCACCTGCTCTTCCTCTTTGCTGTCTGAGCTGGCCATGACAGGATGCTTCATCTCATACCAGCAGGAACATCCTGTGAGTGAAGACATGATCTAAATCAAGTGCTAATGCTGCAGTTATTCAGAAGTGAGTCATTGGTAAATAAAATGGCTTCATTTCAAAAATAGGAAAAAAAAAACAGACTTCTGCAAATTTTGTAAAAGAAGCCTCACTGTGCTTGTTGCAAATTTTACTCTCTTAACCTGTACATGTTGCCTGGAATCTTGCATGTATTGTTGGCAATTGATAACAGTCTGCTAGGAATTCCTCATGCATAGGCCCCATTGCATTGAACTAATGGGGAAGTTGTAGAATTGCTGTATTTTATAGTGAGAGGATCCCAATGGTGTGTGTTCAGTCAGAAGATCAGATTATGGTAACAGTTGAGGAATATTAAGGTGAAATAATACCTTAATGGAGAAGTCCAGTTTTTGTTGACAAAAAGAGAAGCATAACTTGAATCTGTCCTAAAATGGCCAGTTTCATTGCTTCCATCATTTTGTTAATTTAAGCTGCTGTTTTAAAAAGAATTCCTTTTAAAGGAAATATTTATGAAATATTTTATTTGATGTGCTATATTTACTCAGAAAGGCTGACGTTGGTCCAAAGTATTTTTAGATGTTTCATTTTTGTTTCATAATTTGTAAATTTTGGGAACAATGTGGAAGAGGCAAGTGAAGCAGCGTCTTTAATAGTAATAGTAATACGTAGAGAATATACGGTGGCAGCTTTGAACAAAAATGCTTCCAGAAGGACAATGTGCAATCAGTAAAAGAAAAGGAAAAACATATGGGCACCAACCCTGTTAGCTTTGAGTAGACTCATTGAATACATAACTGTTGATTTATCAAGTTACCATTGATTCAGTGAGTGTACTCTAGTTTGAAATAACAGAAGGATTAAGGCCTCTAATATGCAAAATATGAGTAGCAACAGCTTCCTACTAGCTGTTGTAACTTTCACCATTGCACTGAATTGCCTCTATTGTTGGGCTTCATATTAGGAAGCACTTCAGTATTAGTGCATCTCCTTATCCTCTCCTCACATTGATATGTGTAGCTCAATTATTTTATTTTATAATGCCTCTTGTAACAGAGTGAATGTCATTTGGGATTGATGAGATGATTAAACAAGAAATTGAAATGTTAATAAATTTAAAATTTAAATAACAGGAATGCTTAAAAATTAAACTAAGTATTCTTGTCCTGGTGTAGCATCACTCATAACTAAATCAATCATTCTAATGACTGATACTTTTGGGCAAAGCTGTTTAAAGTGTTTAGCTGAGTGTCTTGAAATTGTGTTATGAGAATATTTTGGAGGAATACATCTTATGATTTAAAAGAATATATTGATTAAATATTTATTCATTGTACCACTGAAAACTAATGTGGATGTGAGAGGAAAGGTTTTTCAGGGAGTTGCATCAGGGATTTCTAATGTAATGTTTTCTGTCCTCTGCTTGGATGGAGGGCTTTCTTGTCATTAATAATGAAAGAACTGCTGTGTGTAGTTAAAAAAAGAAGAAGAAATACCACATTTTGCTGTGTTTTAATAATCCAGGGCAGAAATTGTACTGCAACATTTCTGTGGCATGGAGGAGGATCCTGGTTTGCCACAGTTAACTGAATCTAGTTGGAATATGAATGGAATTATGAAGGTATGAGAGACTCTTGAGTAATACCTCAATTTACAGTGTGGCATGTGTTAGCCGCAGTGATGGCTCCCCATGGTTGTGTAATTAACCTTGTGAATGACACCAGACTGGGCAAACTTTCGGATACTTTTAATTCATGTTCTTGTATCACATAGTCTTTGAACCCAACTGTAAAGAGCTTATAGCTGCCCTGCAGAGCAGTTTCAATGGGATGATAAACCTTAAACACATGAAGGCATAGCTCTTAACCATTTCATATTAGCATGAAGATAGAGATCCTTGTTTATCAAGATACTCACCAGGCATCATTGGGGCCATGCTTAGCTGTGCACCTGGCATAGCGAATGGTCACTTTGAAATTGCTGCTTGGAATGTTCTGAGTGACATGTCCAATTGCAGAGTCAGTGATGCAATATCCTTCTGCATATCATCCCCATCTTACTCTTGTTTTCCGTTAAGTAGTTTGTACTTAACAAAGCTTACGTTGCTTTTATGTACCTATCAGACAGTACTGGAATTTTGAGAGGTGAGTCTTGTAATGGGAATGCCTTAATTACAGTGGTGGAAAGAGGCTGCTACTGTATAATGTGTAATTATAATATTAGACTGTCTTCAAAATGTTCTATAGAGGATGAATAAGGTATATTTTAGATACAACTTTATAAGCACTATAAACTCTTCACTAGCTGTGAATTGTAAAGGTTGATGATGTTTACTTCTTCAAATTGCTATTAAAAGCAAAATATGTATTAAATATAATTACAACCTTGTTGGACTGGTTTTCTTCATTTTCCAAGGAGCAACAATTCATCATGGTATCACAGTGATCTTATTTCAAAGATGAAATTAAAATGTTGGCGGTGGAGCCAGCATAATGCTTAGGGAACACCTATAAAAATGCTAAAAAGAAAACAAGCCCATTAATACCTATAAATCAGCAGTGACTCAACATGATTTTTGCCTAACTCGGTCTTTTAAGATCTGAATCTTCCAAGTGCAGTGATGACACCGGAGGGGAGGAAATGCCTATAAAATAAAACAAAGTTAACACAAGGAATAATATATTTATTTTCTTTTCCTTTTGAAAAATAAGGGATAGGGATTTTGCAAGTTAGAGTGTCCTCTAAGAAATAAGATTTCTTCTTTTGCCTTAATAGAATTGCTAATAAGTGTAATCTAGGATAGATCCAATTTCTGAATGGTAACCAAGCACTTAAGCAACTCTCATTGATTCTGTAGGCCTACATGAAATGGGACTGGGATTAGGTTCATGCCATTGCTTACTTAATGGGTGGCATAATAGAGGTAGTGGAGCTTTGTCCATAAGTCTCCCTACAAATAGATGCAGCTTTTCCATAGGACTTCATTATTGTAGGCTACAGCCTTGCGGCTCATTTTCCAGTTGGAAAGTCAAGGATCGCCAACTGGTTAGCTTTGCTACGTTAAAGTGCTACCTATCTCAGGTCATCATTTGGCTGGGGATAAATACTCCTAACTGGCTTTGCCCACTAGCAGGGCAAAATGATGCACACATTTCCATTCTACTTGCTCTATGAAGTCCCTGAAGTCCCTTTACAATCAGACATTGGTGATTTGCCATCAGGCATAATGATGACAATGTATCTCGAAAGGCCAATGGGATACCAACAGGAGAATATTTGTCAAAAATTATTGTCATAAGGAATACATGTGGAAATAATTGGGCCAGAATTCAAAATATGACATGGGGGTCACCATACTGATAGGACTGCAGTTGTGCTGCCAGAAGTGAATGCTAGCAGAAGTAGATGCTGATAACCCGGCCATTATAATGAAATTAAGGAATAGGAACTGCTGTGGAATTTCTAGCAAAGGAGAAGCAGACTTGAAATTAATCCCTGTCGAATTTTTTTTGTTATTTCCCATCAAGATGATTCCCACTCAGCTATGAATGGAAGACCTGGCAGGGCAGTGGTCATCAGCTGACCTGTTCAAGTCTTTCAAGCTGAGGACTATGCCTTTCTTGATTTAATAAGTCCACCCCTAGTGGTCTTTAATAATATATCTTTACAAGTGAGGATCTTATCCAGCCGTTTCATAACTTTCCTTCCATATCTTAAGCCTTCTAATTTCTTGACTGCAGTCTCCATTTTAATTAATGGATGAGACAAGGTATAGAAAATCACAGTATATCAATGTCCTTGTTATCTAATTTGAGGTCATGTAAATCGTCTTACTTTTTAGTTCTTACTCCCCCGCCCCCCCTTTCCTTCTTTTGTGCTTTCTTCCTGGACTTACATCACTCTGAGGTTGTGATATCCTAGTAAGGAATATAGTGTCATCTGCTTATCTTAAGTTGTTGCTGTTCCTTCCTCGAATTTTCTTGCCTCCTTCCTCTGAGTTTAATCCTTTTTTCCATATGATATAATCTGCATATAGGTTAAATAAACAAGGCAATAAAATGCAGCCTTGTGTAGTCCTTTTTGCCCATAGGAAACCATCTTGTTTCTCCATAGTGTGTCTTGATAGTGGCCTTTGTTCCTAAATATGTTATTTTGTTTTACTTATTGACATTATAACTTCCCCTTTTCACAAGATAAGATCAAAAAAGTTTAAAAGAAGATTAAATTAAAATCTTTTTTTACAAACATATCTATCAATCAATCAATAAGAGTATTGTCAAAACCACTGTTAAAACAAGTAATAATTAATGAGAACATATTAAAAATAAATAAAATCCAGTACACCATTTCACAGACAATTATTGCCATCTAATTTGAAACTGAAAAGTTGGCCTGAATAATATCTTCATTTCCAATGGAGAGAAAGCATCAAGAGAATCAAATGTTACAACACAGCCATTTCTTTTAGGGTAAACCATAATTTCTCACGATATGTACAAAGGCTATAAAGCACAGGTTGATTTTCCCATGAAATTCTTTGATTAATTTCATTATTCAAGGTATGTTTGCAATATGATCCATATTGCTTTTCCTTTTTCTGAACTCAGCTTGGATGACTAGAATTTCTCCCTCCATATATGGTAAAAGATTTCTTGTAAAATTTTGAGTATCTCTTTACTTCAATCAGGGATTCGTGAAATAGTTTGAGGGTCCCTACATTCTCTGGTGACCCTGTTCTTGGAGACTGGAATGTATATTGAGCATTGCCTTTCTGGGCCATTGTTTCGTTTTCCATATATGTTGTCAGATTTTGTTAGGGATGGAATATATTTCATTTCCATAGCTTGAAACAGCTCTCTTGTTATGTTGGATAAGCGAGACTCTACTGTAATAATGACTGTCAAGATAGATATATAAGGGGTATACTTATAACAAGATGGTAAACATACATAGAGCAGCACATGAAGTAATACTACACATTACTACAGGAGATTTTTCTTTTATTTGTTATCTGTTGTTCTGTTTTGTTTTCATTTTCCTTTGTGTTTCTCCAGGAGCTATTTATGAAGCTCATGCTGTAGTATATGAGAAAATGCCTCCGTCTCTTTTTGCAATAGGCTGGAAGAGGACAATTTATAACTCTGACTGTTTCCATTCTTTCTTTAAAGGATCTGAAACATTATTGCATTTAACGAAGTAGACGAAGG